AGAGGCAAAAATGATTATAGCAAATAAAAAAAGAGATAAATCTCTCTGTCCATTGTACAAACTACTTAGAAAGCAGAGAGAGGTGGAAACTTCCAGATTTCTGTTTCTATCATATTATGTATGACTAGTATATTCCCAAAGGCACTGACCATCAACTACAAAGAACTGAGAAATGACTTTGTTAAAATATATTGACAAAAATTGAGTTGAAAACTGGTTGGTTACCTAAATAAAGCTTAGACAATAATAAATATTTTTAAGAGGAACAATAAAACTGTAGATTCAGAGAACTGACAGCTGGAACAACTGACATTAAAGCCATTTTTTTAAATGGCTTTTATCAAAAAGACAGGCGATAACAAATGCCAGTGAGGATGTGGAGAAAGGGAACCCTCATACACTGTTGGGGGGAGTATAAATTAGTGCAAACACTATGAAGAACAGTATGGAGGTTCCCTTAAAAAACTAAAAATAGTACTACATATTACCCAGCAATCCCGCTGGTAGGTGTATATCAAAGAAAGGAAATTAGTATATCAAAAAGATATCTGTACTCCCATGTTTATTGCAGTACTATTCACAATAGCCAAGATTTGGAATCAACCTAAGTGTCCATCAACAGATAAATGGATAAAGAAATTGTAGTACATATACACAATGGAATATTATCCAGCTATTAAAAAGAATGAAATCCTGTCATTTGCAACATCAATGGAACAGAAGAACACTATGTTAAGTAAAATAAGCCAAGCACAGAAAAGATAAATCTTGCATGTTCTCACTCTTATGTGGGAGCTAAATATTAAAACCATTGATCTCATGGAGACAGAATAGAATAATGGTTACCAAAGGTTGGGAAGGGTGGTAAGAAGGAGGAGAATAAAGTGAGGATGGTTAATAGGTGCAAAAACATAGAAAGATAGAATGAACAGTATTTGATAGCACAACAAAGTGACAATAGTCAACGAAAAGTTATAGTATACTTTAAAATAACTAAGAGTGGAATTGGAATGTTCCTAACACAAAGAAATGATAAATGCTTGAGGTGATGACTATCTCAATTACCCTGAGTTGATTCATACACATTGTATGCCCACATCAAAACATCACATGTACCCTATAAATATGTACCCTATAACTATCATGCACTCATAATAATTAAAAATTAAAAAATTTTTTAAATTCATTTTTTAGTGTTAAGAACACAATTTGTGAAGTCTCTTTAAAGTCATTCTTACAAGCTTCAAGAAATATATACACAAACAAAACCAATAAAAATTATAACAATCATGTTTTTGCTTTTAAATGATTGTTCATCCTATAATTATGAAATATAATCATGATGTTAAAGTCACTTTTAATCTCCAATATTTATAAATAATAACTCCTGCTTTGTTTTTTATTGCAGCGAAATACATATAACATAAAACAACTTCTTTTTAATATAGAAATTGAGATAATGCTACACAGTCTCTTTTTGAAAGTGGATAAAAACAAATATTTGCAGAATATTAGTGACCTACCCCAGATCTCAGGAAGACAATCAAATATTCTTGCTTCTCCAACCTGTTTTAAGTCGACAACTCACTTTATGCCAGTGGGATCTTAAAGAGCCTATATATTTAGGGCCTTTTCCTAGTTCAAATATCCAAGTTTGCCTGAAATATGCTAAACTTGCTGACATTCCTCTTATATAAGACCGCATAGGCTTGAATAAGTAGGGACGGATCTGTGATGGCATACATTTAACCCCCACCTCCACCTCCCTGCACCTGGGAGAAATAGCTACACATCAGGCCAGTGTGGCTGAGTGATTCTGATACATATCCTTAAGTTGACTCGGACCTACCAGGGAGGCAAGGAGCCAGAAGGCACATCACCATGGCAACTCCCCACAACAGACTCAAGCTATGAGCATAGGGCTTCCAACTCTGAGGTCACATGTAGCTCCATCCTTGAAAAAGACATGTGAGTAGATATTCTTCAAAACAGTATCATTTTATCTCAGAAACAACAATCTTCCAACTCAGCGTGTCTCTGCATCAATGCAAACTTTGCCATTTAGCTATGGTGACCATATTTCCCAATCTGCCCTGAACTGTCCAGGTTATGCTTATGTAATTATTGGTGGTGCCCCTTTGGGTAATAAAAGTCATCCCAGATCAAACAGTAAATTATATGGTCAGCCTAGGCCCATTGCAGAAAAGGAACAGGCATGAGAGACAAACCAGAGGCAAGTGTATTTGGAGATGTTTGCAGTCCTACTGCTCTGGGCTACCTTCCAGACTTTCTTCAGTGACTGCAGAAAACACTTAGGAGACTTTCTTAACAATGATCTTAAATCCAAATAAATAACTCTTCACTTCAAATGCAGAACTCAGGACAAAGCAAACAGCAGGTCTTCTTCCTTCTGACTTCAAGGGTACCTGGAACCATCCAGAGCCTATTCTATATGAAGCATAGTCCTGGATGATAATATGTTGAACTGACCCGTTTTACACAACCTGCTGCAGAATTATCACTTTTGGGAATTTTACTTGTAAATTCTTCCAAAACAATGGTCCCAACTCCCTCTACTAAGAGAGCCCTATTAAGTGAACTCAAATGCTCAAAAGGAAACGTGACAAATAGCACACGATGTCAATGTGTGTACTTGTCCACTCAACAAATACTTAAACCAAAGATCAAAAGAGGCAGCCCATGGATCTCTGAAGCCAGCCCTCAGATGTGTATCATTTGGCCCAGAGAAAATTCTTAAATGTTTAAAATATTTGCCAATACTTTAAAATGTGGAGTCATACATAAAAATTTAGATTTCCACTCTCTTGGGAAAGCAGCAGCTCTGCAGCACTGGGCTTGCATTCCATGCTTGCAATTTCCAACTAGAGCTAAGAAGCACCTTGAGAAAGAACACCCACTACCCAGTCCTTCACGGTCCTCACTCAACCCTCCTCCTAGGCACCATGGTTTGTAAACCCTGATTAATGGCTAGAGATAATCCCTAGGGAGACTCTATCTGGCCCTTCATATTAATGAGCCTCTGGCAGGGATTCTCCATGTTCGGAGCAAATAGGAATTCATATCTTTAGTTCAAGGACTCATCAGGGAAATGGCAATGAACAGGAAAGTTGGGGTTTTTTTCCCTATCAGAAAGCCATATTCACCACTCCCACTAGACGAAAGAAGGAAAATGAGCCCAAATATGTTAATATTTGTAAAGTAATAGCACACTTGGCCTTGAACTCTTAAATATACAATGGAGGCAAATAAATGATGTTTTTAATTGACCTCTTACCAGTCCAGGAGGCACTCAAAGGCTTCTGTTGAGAATTGAAGGTACATGACCATCAATGAAACCAAGCAATAATGTGTCATGTATCAGATCTGAAGAAAGTAACTTTAACATAAACCACCACCGACAGTCATGAAATGTTCCTTAAAGTCCTGGAAAAATGCAATTTGTTCTATTTCACCACCAGAACCAGAAAATTTTAATATAATAAAGATGTGATAACTTTCAGAAACTTTCCATTTTCAACATACGTGAGAGCTAAAAATAAGTTTTAAACAAATGATCCTAAAATGAAATTCATTTAATCATGGTTAGGACTTTGAGATAATCTGTAGTAAAGTAGTTTGCCATAAATATAACAATGATCACAAATTAGAATTGCTCTCTTCATATTGGGAGTTCTGACTGTCACTATATTAAACTGTTTTACAGAGTTAACTGATGAAATCTCGAACAATGAACTTTTATTGTCTTCAATTCAGCTACAGGCCTTTTGTGAAAAGGCTACTGGACAAAGTCTTTCAAGTACAGACACAAGAATTATGAAATAAGAAAAAATTAAAGCTTTATTTATAGGATGTTTTTCTCATCTGACTATTATTAATTTCTCAGCTCCCAAAAGAAAGCCATATGGTGCAACCTGAGACTATTTATTTTTATTTTTATTTAAACAAAACTATTTTTTCAAAGAACCTAAAGTACTCTGCAAACATTAAATAATCATTTTTAAAACAGCATTTTGGGAGCTTTTGACATGGGGGGAAAAACTCTTTACTCATTAAAGGAAAAAAGCCTGTTTTCCAAGGCACAATCACTGTAGTAAAGTCTTCCTCTCGCTGTTAGGAAAGGAATGTATCTGTTTTTATGTAAGTAAAAGTTCACGGTTTGGTAACAACACTTCGATTTAGTAAACTCTGAAGAAACAATATTAGAAACAAAAATGAAAAAAAAAATTTTAAAAACATTAGAAGCCTCTTCTACACTGATTTTTAAATCACCCCGGCATGTATTGATTCTTCCTCCAGTAAGTGTGTGAAAAACTGCAAAAAGGGACATCTTCCCACTCAAAATCCAAATGCAGAATCGTACTTTACTGACGATCTGACAAAGTCTGGGAACTTTTCCCCCAAGCCTCTCTCCAAAATCGCCTCCCAGACCGGAGACCTGCAGGTGCTGTGTGACAATGACGCGACCCGCCAAACGGATTAAGGTGCAGGACTCCACGGAGATTGAGAACCAGTGAGCAGCCTCCAGGAACCCAACCTTTTTTTCTCCCGCGTTCCCTCTTACCCACACACATACACCCACGCACACACACCCACGCACACACCGGCGAAGGCCCGGCAAGCCATCTCCAGTCACACCCCAGTCACACCCCAAACACCGCGCTCGTCCTGGGACGCACGCCTCTCCCCGCGTCCTCCTCGGACGCTCCAGCTCCTCCTCCAGCCCGGGACCGCTCTCGGTCTCTCTCTCTCCTGCTTTTGCGGGCCGTCTGCCCCGCCGCCCGCCCAGCCCCCGAACACCTTCCCTCCCACTCCCAGGTCCCAGGAGGGGGAACAAGCGGGCGCTCAAGCGCGCCACGTGGAACGCGCGCGCCAGCAGCCCGGCCAGAGTCGGTCCTTAAAGTGGGGTCCCTGCCCCTCCGGCCGTGCCCCCCATCCCCAGGGCCCGGGCCCGCCCCCGCGCCTCTCAGCCCGGGTCTTGCCTGGTTGGGGTCTGTGGCGCGGAAAACGTGGCAGGCCATCTGCGACTCGGGGTCGTCTGGCTGCGCCTTGATCAGGTAGGCAAAGTAGGTGAGGTCGTGGCTGTTGTGGATGAAGCGCGAGATGTGCTGCGCCTTGTGCTCGAAGATGAACACGGCCGGGTTGGGCTGCGCGGCCGCGGGGCTGGTGCCCCCCGAGGCCCCTGCGCCCGGCGCGGGGACGCAGCGCAGGAAGGGCGCGCTGAGCACCAGGATCACCTCGCGGGCCGCCGGCGCCCCGCAGCCTCCCGCCTCGGGCTTCTGGCTGCGCCGGCGGATCTCTGCCATGAGCCAGGGCAGCATGGGCAGCGTGGTCCTGCGGTCCAGGCACGACCCCCCCACGTACCACAGCCGGAACCGCTTGTCGCCCGGCTTCCCAGCGCCCGGCTCGGGCTCCAGGGGGTGCGGGAACGGCTCATCCTGAATGCAGCTAGGCGGCTCCATAACTCACGCCTCACGGGGGCACCGGGGAGGCCGGCCAGGCGCGCCGCGCCCCCAACTCCCGCGCTGAAGGCGCGCCGAAACGGTGCCGAGCGCGGCACCGGGCACCCGCGCCCGCCTCGGAGCGGCGCGACCGCGAACTCCGCGCCTCAGCGGCCCTGCCCCATGCGGCGCTTCCCCGGGCGCGGGCGGCGGGCACCGAGGCGAGTGCCCGGCAGCCAGACGGGCAGCAGAGGACGGCTTAAATGGGCATCCTCCGTTCTCGGGCCCGCGGGTCCGGGTTTCCCTGTTCCTCCGCCGCGGGTCTGCAGGGTCAGAGGACGAGGCCGAGGGCCCCCGCCGCCGCCCGCTCCGGCGCTGCGAGCCCGCTGCGGCCGCCGCGCTCTCCTCCCCGCCGGCAGGCACGGGGAGGCTGGGCGGGGAACGGGGCTGTGGGCGGGAGGGGGCGACTCGGGGCGGAGCTGACTCCTACCAGGGTGACCGGCTGTCACCTGGAAGGTCGGGGCCGCCCGCTGCGGCGCGGTCAGTCCTCGGGAAGGGCCTCCGAGAACTGCTCCGAAGGAAAATAACAAAAACAGAACGTGGCCTCGCGGGGCCTGCCCTCCTCCCGCCGCCGCTGAGCCCCGCTCGCTGCTCCTCCTCCTAGTGTTCCCGTCCCTCCCTCGCTCCTTCCTTCCTTCCTTCCCCGCCGCTTCTTTAATCGGGCTGCTACCCCGCCTCCCGTCCGGCGGGCGCAGAGCGTCGCCTGCGAGAGCTAATCTGTGAAGTGGCCTCTCCGCCTCTGCCTCCGACCCCCGCCCCTCCACCCCGCCCCTGGGCAGCAGCCCAGAGCCTGGGGCGGGCACTGCTGGGACCAGCCCGGCCTCTCTGCGTCTGCCGCGGTCGGTCTTCTCCCGGGCATCTCTGCTGCCCCCTGGAGAGCGGGCCACTGGCAATGGGGCGCTGGGATTTTTTTTTTCCCTTGGTTTCAGTTCCTTCCAAAGTCAGCATGTTGATTTCTGAATCCTCTTTCCTAATAATATCAAAAAATCTCGTGTTGTAAATCACAATATTATGACAAAGTATGTTTAATCCCAGTTTTCACTTTAAAATATAGCATGACTATATTAAAATAGACGTATTTTCCTAGTTCTTAGTGCAACCAGCTTCTTAAAATATGGAGAAATTATATTTTATTTGTTATATGTCCCCAGTTCAGAGCTAACGTAGGGATTTCTTATTCTTCTATATGTAGTAATGCATGTTTTCAAAGAACTCAAAAAACATGTTAGAGAGAAGTTGGACCATTCTAATTTTAAAACAGAGAAGTATTTATTTTCCCATTTCAGCAAATTGGACTCAGTGTCTCTTTTTACTCTTACTCTTACCGAACAGTAAGAATTGGATAAGAGGTAAACATAAAACAAATGTGAAAAACATATTTTCCTGACTTTCTTCCAAGTTGCTTAAGAGAAAGAATGAAAACTCAGGTTTCTCTTTGTTTTATATTAATGGTGTTCTCACTTTCTATTAGGCCCTGGGACCTATTTAGGTAAGATATATATATAACCACTGCCATTATTTCTATTCTGAATTTCTGGTGGGCATCCTGATGGCTCTCTTACTAATAAGCATCTAAGCTTCAAGATGGTAACATTAATTGATTAGAATAAGTCATGTGGTTACATTTCTTGGAAAATCTTTGTGCAAAATAGACCCATGTCTTCAAGAAGCAATGAAAAGTTCTTGGACTGACACCTTGACCGTACACTGACACCTTCTAGAACCTCTCCTACGCAGAAACTCTCTTACACAAATCCCATTTCTTTAGGCTACATATCTGAAATGTGCAAAATGAGAAAGAAATAAACAAAGATATGGAGAAAGCACAGAAGTCTTTTAGATTCTACCAAATCAACCAGTTTAGGAGCTCAGATTGAATGTGGAGCCCCAGCAAACCAGTTCCTACTAGAATAATAAGTAAAGTAGCAAAGAAAACACTTTTGCTTATTGACGGAAAGACAGGGGAATTGTCTTTTATTCCATGTCATGCTAAGTATGATTGCTTTCTGCTCTGGAACGCTCTTCGCCCTTCCCTTGTAATGTTTCTGTGATGCTTATTTTACCATACGTTTATGAGCATTATAACTGTCTGTCGATATCTGATCCTCTCTGCATCCTGACACTTGGGAAGATAGCTCTTTCCTGCCCCCTTGAAGTTAGCCACAGTCATATGACTTGTTGTGACAGTGAAGTGTGAACAGAAGAGACATGGGTCAGGTCTAGGTAGAGGCATTTACTTGCCAGTAGTCTAGGCTCCAGCTTAGAGCCTAGTAGTCTTGCTCTCCAGACCACTCTTCCCCTCTGGCTGTTGTAACGGGAACAATATATGGCTAAGGAGGTGCCTCCTGATCAAAGCAGCCCTGAATGCTGAGCCAACGCACGTGGACAGCCTGGAGAATCTCCCAGGCCCACAGCAGACTCCTTATAGTAAGAAATAAACTTTTGGCCAGGCATAGTGGCTCACACCTGTGATCCCACCACTTTGGGAGGCCAAGGCAGGAGGATCACTTGAGGCTAGGAGTTCCAGACGAGCCTTGAGCAACATAGACAGACCTGTCTCTACAAAAAAAAAAAAAAAAAATTAGCCGGGGGTATACCTGTAGTCACAGCTACTTGGGAGGCTGAAGCAGGCAGATCACTTGGCCCGGGAGTTTGAGGTTACAGAGAGCTATGATGATATGAGGATGCCACAGTAGCCTGGGCAGCAGAGTGAGACCCTGTCTCAAAAAAAAAAAAATTAACTTTTGTTCTGTTTAGCCACGGAGATTATGCGGTTGTTCCCTACCTTTTATTAATCTATCCTATCCTAGCTAATAAAATTGTTATACTCTAGTATGTATTAACAATGTTTTATATAAGTTGTTTTATAATCATTTATACATTTGACTTAGTACATACATGAACTAGATCGGAAGCTATTGAAGCTATTGACTCCCTAAGACCATTGTATCACCTGCAGAACTTTACAGAATTTTGTGCACATAAAAAGTACTCACTTATATATTTATCACTTGAATTTAGAAATAGATAAGAGGACAAAATACAACTAAAAAATATTTAGTAGGTGTGATACAGAATATGCAAATCTATAATGTTTACTAACTGGTGAGGCAATAAATCAGCCTCTGGCCCCTAGCCCTTTTACTCTCAACCCTATCGATCCCTTCGAAAAATGGTCCAAAGAGTGTGCTCATGAAAAACATTTCCAACAAACTGATGGAAATTTCTCCTGAGTAGTTCTGTAGATACCTCTATCAATGATATCCAAAAGTGAATGGTTATTATTATTATTTTTAAAAGTGTTCCTAGCTGGGCACAGTGGCTCACACCTGTAGTTCCAGCACTTTGGGAGGCCAAAGTGAGAGGATCACTTGAGGCTGGGAGTTTGAGACCAGCTAGGCAACATACCGAGACCCATCAGTACAAAAATATTCTTAAAAATCAACCGAGCATGGTAGTGCATGCCTGTAGTCCCAGCTACTTGGGAGGAGGCCAAGGCAGGAGAATCGCTTGAGCCCAGGAATTCGAGGTTACAGTGAGCTATGATGACACCACTGCACTCCAGCCTGGACAACAGAGTGAGACCCTGTCTCTAAATAAATAAATAAAGTGTTCCTCTAATATCCCAACCTAAATTAATGGGATCAATATTAATTAAAAGTTGTAAGATGCAGTCAAATCCTAGTTTAAAAGTTAATGCCGCATGAGAAATATAAGGGCCTGAGCTGCGGTGATTGTGTAAGACTGGAAAGATTTGTTGTAGTTTCTTACCTCGTTTCCCTGATCCCAAGCACAAGTATGTTCTCTCTCTCTCATTATCTCTCTCTCATTCTCTCTATCTCCCCCCTCTTCCATTCTGTGCCCCCACCATATCTACTTTTCTTCTCTGCTTAACAATCTCTAAATAAAGGTACATTTCCTAAGCACAAAGCTCAAACCTTTTTAGTTATATTTGCCACTTCCCAATCCCCTATTCTCACATCCAGATAATCTCTTCCCTCCCAGACATATTATAGTACATGCTCACGTCTTTATGGGGTTTCACCAGCTTCTTCCTCTCCCTGATTGCCTTTTCTTCCCATCGCCCCAAAACTTGAATTTCCTCCATCCTTAACTACTTGAATATCCATCCATTCATTCTTCAAGAGTCATCTCTTTTGTGAAGATGTTTCTTACTTCCCCAGCTAGAGTTAATGACCTTCTCTTCTTTGCCCCCTTTTCCATGCATTCCATCCTCATCACATTCTTTATAATTTGGGGGTACTTTGTCTTTATTCCTTCTCAAACCCAGAGTATCTTGAGAAAAGGGATTATTTGTTTTGTCTTGTATTTTCCTCTAGCAGAAAGCACAGTAGCTGACACTTACTAGCTACTTAATAAATGTTGAATGAATGAATGAATGAAATTGAAGAAATAGCAAATTAGAATTTAAGAAATTAAAGATTAAGAACAAAGTTTTAATACCACAGAGGTGACATACCAAATGACTTAATTAGCTAATTTCAGGTTACATAGCAAATACATCCACCAGCTAATTATAAAATACTAGAAAATAACAGAATGCTTCCCAAAAATTGTGATGGAATTCTGACTGGGGCCACAAACAAAATACTGACTGAACAGAATTTTGAGATATTAACAAGGGTTTTCCCCCATTGTTCCCTGTGACCTTACCCTAGCTCAGGCAGCTGGCTGGGGCATTCTGTCTTCTTGCTTCAGGGAATGGATGACACAGCAGAACACAGAGAACAAAAGAGTCCATTCTGAGCTTTCAGGCTTCAAAAGCCAAGGACCTGGCAAAGTCAAAAGATTTGGAATATATGCATTAAGAGTCAATTTCTCTTGCTCTAGGTACTAAAGAGAGTGTCCTCAAACTTGGAAGATGGAGGAGAAAAAAGAGAAAATAAGAGAGCTTATTCTATGGATCTCCTATGGATCTCCAGAGAGGGGATCTAGGCTTCGTCTCCCTTAGCTGAGCCAGAGAAGGAGGCCATCAAACCCCAGAGCAGAAGCCTGTGCTTGTCTGTTCCTAGGGTAGCCCAGGAAACCTGCAAGACCTTAGCAT